TCGCGGTCATAAATCGATTTTTTCGATTTTGAAGGTTCGACTTTTTTTCGTTTTTCGTCTCCCCTCTCCAGGCGATCGTTGCTACGTGAATGAAAACCGGTTGAGGTGATTCTCCATGAAATTCTGCATCTGCTACACTTTGTTTGACCTTGGGGAAACGATTCGTTCGTGAGTTATAGCGATTTTTCTGCGCGTTACCGGTTACGCGCGGGCGGCATATCGGCGGCGCTCCATCCCGCACGGGCGAGGCAGAGGTTGTTTCACCGCTAGGGCCTTATATTCATGCTGTAGGCTGTAATTATCGATATTTTCTCCTCCCCCACCCTTCCCCTCCAATAAATATTGTTTTAATACTTCGTTATACAGGGTGTCCCAGACCATCCGTAACAGGTCTTTTTCTCGGTTGGTTTAGGTAGTACGAAGTGGGGGACCGCGGGGTTATATAGGGAATTGACCCCAAGGAATCCGAATTTCACGGTCCCGAAACCCCCCATGCCCCCCCTTTGGGAGGTAGGTGCCCCCCCTTGGGGTCATGATCCCAAAAGTCGGGAGACATTGTGCCTCCCCCTTTTACGCCCCGAGGGTGGCTAGGGGGGCCTCGGGACCGTAAAAATCGGATTCCTTGGGGTCGATTACCTGGGAAATCATCTTTTTCCCGAGGGTCTACGTCAATTTGCGCCCAAAAATGATCTCTTCAAAACGGGGACATCGGCCTCCTCCATAATTTCTCTTTGGTGGAAAATTGACGTAGATTCCCCGGAAAAAGATGATTTCCCGGGTAATCGACCCCAAGGAATCCGATTTTTACGGTCCCGAGGCCCCCCTAGCCACCCTCGGGGCGTAAAAGGGGGAGGCACAATGTCTCCCGACTTTTGGGATCATGACCCCAAGGGGGGGCACCTACCTCCCAAAGGGGGGGCATGGGGGGTTTCGGGACCGTGAAATTCGGATTCCTTGGGGTCAATTCCCTATATAACCCCGCGGTCCCCCACTTCGTACTACCTAAACCAACCGAGAAAAAGACCTGTTACGGATGGTCTGGGACACCCTGTATAACGAAGTATTAAAACAATATTTATTGGAGGGGAAGGGTGGGGGAGGAGAAAATATCGATAATTACAGCCTACAGCATGAATATAAGGCCCTAGCGGTGAAACAACCTCTGCCTCGCCCGTGCGGGATGGAGCGCCGCCGATATGCCGCCCGCGCGTAACCGGTAACGCGCAGAAAAATCGCTATAACTCACGAACGAATCGTTTCCCCAAGGTCAAACAAAGTGTAGCAGATGCAGAATTTCATGGAGAATCACCTCAACCGGTTTTCATTCACGTAGCAACGATCGCCTGGAGAGGGGAGACGAAAAACGAAAAAAAGTCGAACCTTCAAAATCGAAAAAATCGATTTATGACCGCGATAAATTACGCAACTTTGCAAACAGCATGAATATTCTTGTAGAGAATATATTTTAACGTTTTTTAGCGCAAACCGCAACACTTACACTCAAACCGTTCGCGAGATATCGATTTTTAAAGTTTTAAAAAAATTGCAACTTTGCCCCCCTGCCCCCTCCCCCCTAATTATCCGAGGGGGCTGAAATTTTTCCCAAGCGTCGGGGACACTTAGTACAACATCTGAGCAAAGTTTGGGGCGAATCCAGGGGGGGGCCAAAATCGGCGTTTTTGGAACAACCTCTTTCTACTGAGTTATTTTTCATGATTCTGCAATTTTCTGTGAAAAATCCTTGAAATTTACCATTAGAAACTACTCTACTAAATAAATGTGAGCAACATAGATTCTGGGTCATCGTTAAAAAGAAGTGGCAAGAAAGAAGGAAGGAAGTGGCCTTTTCGAGCGCAGCGACTTAATCACACAGCCGCCTAAAAATGCAAAGGAATTAAGATCAATTACTTACCCATACTTTTTGAAAATAAACAGTATTCACGATCGCCAGTCATAAACAAGTGACTGAAGTATTGATTTTGAAATTTTTGAGCAGATTAAATAACATTAAGTTGCGACTCGCAAATTAGTTTGATATTAATGCTTGAACATTATCCTTTTCAGTGGAATAATCTTAAATCTCGGTACTTTGAAACTGCCGAAATCGTTGCCCCTCTTTTTCAGCTTTTCATCAAATCTTTCTCTTAGATCAAGATGGACAATAGCTTTAAGTAACTCTCTCGTAACTTTTATATGCCTTTTAATGTACAATACATAACACTATTCCTCGTGTTTACCCTCGATTTATATGATTGACCTCATTTTAAATCTGTTTTGTACCTTTTACAAAATTACTTCTTATCCACGCCGTCATCTTTACAAGCTGCACGCATTAAAGGAACATCCGTCTGATACGCAGGTCACTTTCCTCATATTTTCAATTATGAAGCGTTTTTTCCAGTCAGTAATGACTGTAGAGAGACGAAAATTGTTTAAAGTGATAGTAAATTTCATGCTATTAACACGGTCCTCATAAATTTTGCCGAAAAATGAAGTGGAAACGAGTAATTCGCGAAAATCCGAGCGCGCAACTAATTTTTCCAAGTACGCGCAACGCCGGCTCATGCTGCGTGGGGCTCAGTGGGGCTCAGTCGCGAGCTCCCACCCCGCCCGCCCATTACGGAGTCCCGCCGAAGTTGCCTCGCTCAGCTGACGCGGCGGAGATAGGGAGTGCACGGTCTACTCTATTCAATGTCTTTGGGATACACCTCATCACCATTTTACTCGTTTTCTTTAACTACAACAGCCATTTAACACAGGCTAAGACTAGGCTTGTTTGATAAGTAATAATATCAGTATCACTGATATGACAACAATAGGTGGCCTGCGTATTAGCTCTCTCTATGTGGACTGTGTTAGACAAGTGGACAAAGGCATATTGATTCAATTGCCCACCTCCTAAAAAATGGGTACAAATGCTCCCCGAGACGCTAGACGTGCTGGCGAAAATCCCTCCCTTGGATTTACTTCTACTAGAACATAAGACCAGATTTGACACGCAAGATCCGAAGATGGCTGAAGAAATGATGTATGATTAGGGTGCGGCTTATTTTCGTCATGTCGGAAAATCGACGAGGTCTGGGTGGCAATCGATGCAATCTATGAAAATAATAGGCTGTATTAAATTTGAGCCAATTTGAAGCTTTTTTAGCTGATGCTCAAAGAGATCAAAACCAAGGGGCAAAATTACATTGGTTTAAATGGGCGGAAAAACGCCTGATCTGCGAAAATGCGTTTTTTGGATCTAAAATGCGCTTAAATGAAGAAAACCTGACCAGCTCTTAGAGAGGCATCTAGGAGCCCATTCGAAACGAGAAAATCACATTTTCGACCCATGGATGAGGGTAGGGGGGATCACTCGATTGCAAGATAAAATATATACACAAATTTCGTTCCAGACTCGAGAAATAGTATGGGTGGCAACATTGTAAAGGGCCAAGTATAGTTTTCAAGGGCTAAAACAACTACTATACATTATTTCTCATCAAGTTGTGAGATACATTTGCCTCTTTAACTTCGGAACACTTATTTTGAGTTCGATCAGAAAGTCTCAAAAGCGATCTTTTAGCTGCGGGCGCGGCACCTCAAAAGCGGCTACGCCGTGACCACCCTATCCCCACTCATGGGTAAAAGTGTGATTTTCTCGTTTCGAATGGGCTCCTAGATGCCTCTCTAAGAGCTGGTCTAGGTTTCCTTCATTTAAGCGTATTTTAGATCCAAGAAACGCATTTTCGCAGATCAGGCGTTTTTCCGCCCATTTAAACCAATGTAATTTTGCCCCTTAGTTTTGATCCCTTTGAGCATCAGCTAAAAAAGCTTCAAATTGGCTCAAATTTAATACAGCCTATTATTTTCATAGATATCATCGATTGCCACCCGGACCTCGTCGATTTTCCGACATGACGAAAATAAGCCGCACCCTAATGTATGATGCCTGGAAAGATAGATGGTACTCGAACACGGGGAAAGCTGAATGGACTCGAAAACTGATCCCGGATCTTGATTTGTGGATGAGGAGTGAGTTTGCAGAAGTAAACTTCGCGACAACTCAGTTGCTGACTGGCCATGGCTCTTTTGCGGCTTATCTACATCGCTTTGAGATCAAAGATTCTGATCAATGCACTCAATGTAGCCAACGTGATTCGGCTGAACACGCGATGTACAACTGTGGCAGATGGGTTGCGGAAAGTTGGGAACTTGAAGGGGTAATTGGTCCCATCCCGCCTCCAGAAGAGCTAATGGGTGTGCTACTGGAGAACAAAGGAAATTGGCTAGCGCTTGAGCGGCTCGCGGCGCATGTTACGTCAAGCAAACGCAAAGATAGACAATGAGATGGATAATGGATAACGGATGCCTCTAGTGGGTCAAAAACCCTCGGGTCTCTGGCCGGGGGTAAATGACGGGGTCGGGGACTGCCGTTCGAAGAGTGCCTTAGGGACGTCCGACGGGAGGATAGAGCGTCCGATGGGCCACACTTGCACGGCGTGTGGCCTGGAGGGGTCGTTTAGTGGGTACAGAACACAGCGACGTGCTCTACCCCCACATAACCGGGTTTTCCCATCTCACAGCGGTCGGGTCGGTTAGGGATCGCTTCGGCAGCTCTTCACCAGCTGATGGTCGTTGCCGTCCTGGTATTCGGTGGGCCCCTTTCATGAGGGGCGTCTTGGTGACCCTCATGATGGGGGCACTGTAGCGAATTTTTCCCCTCATCACAAAAAAAAAAAAAAAAAAAAAAAAAAACTCCCTGAGATAAAACTTAACAATCCTTCGTAAAACGTATTTCATCGTTTCAATGGAACTGCACAGTAATCGATCTTTGCAACAATGCTAAAGTATATTATTTAATGAACTCCGTTGCTGTATTATTACAGCAATCACATTATTTTTTAGTCTTCTAAACACTAAAATAGGAGGGATCAAAATCTTAAAATTATACAGAAACAAAGATCAGGCTAAAAATAAGTAGTTTTTTGGGAGAAAACTTTTGAAAAAAAACTCACCTTGACTCGAAAGAATTTGCTGAGGCTTTGGGTGAAATACTGAGTGTATCTCTGAGGAAAATACAGTTTCAGTTACTTCCTGTTCTGGGAACTTATACGTCTTTCCTGAGTTGCTCAGATTACTGTATCGGGATCTCAACTCCCAGACGCTGGTACCTGCTCCAGAAGATGACGATGAAGATGCTACTGATGACTTATTGTTGGAGGAATGATCAATCATTGATGATTTGCGTCTAGACTTACTGCGGCTTTGACTGAAAACCTCTCTACCACCAGCTATTTGAATGATTCTACAAGAAAAAAAGTGGTGATGAAACGATTAATGGTGGTTTGGGACTGAGGAATATCAATACCTTGCATGTACTGCCATCATAAGATGCTTTATTGCTACTAATTTTATTAAAGAAAATATCTTTTTTGTAGTGAACATCTTCGAAATTGTATTTACAGAACTGTCAAGCCCCAAATAAATTAAATACAATTACATGAAATCCTAAAGAGAAATCGCAGGATCTTTCCAAAGCAATGAAGTTGCGGTTGAGGCATTTTAGGATCGTCTGTGGCAGTTGGATTGTTGATTTTTAATCTATTGTCTTCGGGACAAAATAAGTTCAATTAGAACCCAGCCATGTGATTGGTTATAAGGTTTTAAGAGCTGAGCCCCCCCCCCCCCCCCCCCTTCTTTCAGTCTTACACTGATACTCATTAGAGTTGAATTTTTGGACTCAACTTGAAAAATTTTGGGCCTTGATTTCTCCGCAGAATAGCGTGGATCCAGCTCTATTCTACCACTCTTGTTACTCCTCAAAAATATCATACTTTGCCGCAACTTGAACCATGCCTCATTTGGCTGCACACAAACGCTCAAGGTAGAGGGTATAGGTGGTGAGGGCATCCCTCTGTTACGAACCATGCCTCATTTGGCTGCACACCAACACTCACAGTAGAGGGTATAAGTAGTGAAAGCATTCTTATGTTAACAGCTGATTAATTCCACTTACCTAGAATCACGCAATTTATATGTATTTGTTTTGCTAGGTCTATTTTTCAGAGTGAGAACAATACGTCCACTGTCTTCATCATCATCTTCATCATTACTGTCACCGCCTAAAGATGATTCATTCGGGCTATTGCACTCTTCCTCTTCAGCCTCCCCTCCTTCATCTCCTCCCATATTAGCGCCACAGTTGACTCTATTACAGACAAAATACAACAATTGCAAAGTCATGCACAGGCTTTCTGATACGATTTATAGTGATGGAATCAAACCAACAAGTAGCCTTATTATGTTGTAAAAATATCAATAAACTTAACAAATTGAAAAACTTGTTTTTTTCTTGATTTATTCCCATACATTTTTAAGCCCTGAGTTGAGAGAAAATTTCCAAAAAATTCTACGGCCACCAATGGATGTTAAATGTCTTAATAAAAGTTTTAGTATGAAAGTACACAAAAAATGACATAAAATCACGATTTATAGCCTATTAAGCCTTCCTAAGAGAAACTTTTAGAAAATTCACACTCTTCAGCATACCTTTTCTGCCACAGATCTGAGTCCATTTTCAAAACTGGGAAGCATAGGTCATCACCACAGAAATTACGAAACTGTACGTTATTTAAATTGACATCTGTTGAAATGCAGTTCCTTTGACGAGGTTTACACTTGGGAAATAATTTGGTAATCTGCTCGTTGTCCAGTTGCAAAGTCAAGCTAGTCATGGTGAGAAAGTACGCATCTGCATTGTGTACATGTCAACTCCTATCCTTCCAAGACAAGAAAATAACACATAAACAGTAAAAATTGTGTTAAAACCACAGATGAATACACTTTTTCTGCGTGAAAGGGAAATTTTTTGCAGCTCCTCATTTGTTTGCTCCAAATGGTGCACATCACTCACTAAGTTAAACCCACATGAAATAAGCGAACCTTGTTTCATTGAGTTGGTTAGGTTTGTTCGTTCCGTTGGAAAATAGTTATCGCCTGAGTAGAGACAATTTTTCATTGCTCAAGTTGAATAAATAAACTGAAAGGCCATCTGTAATAACGACATAAAAATTACTGAGCTACTTTACACTTTAAAAAATTTAATTTCTGACACTGCAAGGTAGGTAATTCATTTTAAAATTGATTATTACACAGTAAAAGCTCGTTAAGAAAAAATACGGTGAAAATGAAAATCCGCTTAAGACAAAATTTTTTTCCGTCCCTTGACACTTCCATAAGAGTCAATGTAAAAAAAAATACAGATAAGAGGAAATTTCGAAATTTTGACCCGTAACCAAAGCCAGTTAAAACAAAGAAAAATTTCCAATATTTCCCCCTGAAATTGGGTAAAAACGACAAAAAAGAGCCAATTCTTAGGAAAATAGACTTAGTTTCACGTATCTTGACATAAAAAGAGTAGGTTGGGAGTGGATCGAGGGTATCCTCTGTTTTGCTGGATGACTGAGATGCAATCAACAGTTGGCGATAAACCGATTTGCGTATATTAAAAAATTCAAAATTTGGATTTTGTATTGTATAAAATTTAAAAATTTAAAACTGATAATTAAGTCCAAAAGTCGATCTTTCAAAAAGTCATTCACTTAAAGTAATCTTTAATTTTAGTTTGTGTAGATTTTGAAAGCTGTCCGGATATTAAAACTGCTTCCAAATCTTGGAGGCTGTTGAAAACTGTATTGTCCACGTCATTTTGACTGAAGAAAGTCCTAAGTTTGTCCAGTGATTTTTGAGCCTCCGCGACACACATTGGTTGGACATCATTTTCTTCACAGGCACTGTTTTCATCCTCACTTTCAGTGTTCACACTAAGATGACTTGCAACTAAATCTTCAATTGTGCGCACACCACTTGTGTCCACATATGCCGCTTATGCCGAAAAATTTTGTCTCAAGCGAAGAACGGTTAAGACGAAAAGCCGCTTATGACGAAATTTTTTTCGGTCCTTTCATTTTTCGTCTTAACGAGCTTTTACTGTACTCAAAAGGCATGAATCCACCTCCTGTTGATCTTGGTTTATAATAACCAGAGTGAAACTCATAATTAGTTATGTATCGAAGTAGTATTGACCCATGGGACTTGATACTCTGAAATCACCTTAACTAGCTTTTAAAAGTCTATAACTTAATTAAATTTCAACATACTCTGATTTTCATGTTTAAACCATCCATACTTTCTTCATGAAAAGCTGACGCATCTTATGAAAAACTTGGTATTATTCAGAAAAAAACCCCTGGAGGTAGGTGCTCAAAGTTCATAAAACCAGTATTTATTTAATTTATTGCTTAATTTTTTCAATGTCTTTGTCTTCGTTAAAGCACTCAAGGCTGGTGGAACATGTATCCTAGTGACACTCAGAATGTAAAAGATTCAAAAGCAAGAAGTTTTGCAACATGTTTGTACTGTAAAAAGCTTCTAAAAGTTACTTACATTTTAATTGAAAAATATGATGCCGAAGGAAATATTTCTCCATGGATACCTGCAACAAAAAAAGGAGGAAATCAGGTTAGTGAAACCGTTTAAGTACATTTTTCTTTTCGGACCTATAAATTGCCTGGGAAGGAGTGGGCCATGTAGCAGCCAGAGGGCTTACCCCTCAGCATATCAAAAATGGCAGTAAGGATGGCTTTGGAGAGGACTGTTATCTCTGTCTTGACATTATCTTCACACTAACAAGCAGGGTTAGCATGTGTGGGGCAAGGGCCACCCCCCCCCCCTTCAAAGGTTTTGAAGAATTCTTTCATATTACTTAAAGTCTAAAAATCATTTTTATTTTTATTCAAATAACAGGACTTGGTGAAAAAACTCTATCCTAAACCCTAGAGTGGTGATTTAAAGAGTTTGCTGCTTTGTAAATAGAGGGTCCAAACACTTAAACATCCCATTTGGACAGCAGAATCTGGAATGGATGAGAACGCAATATCATCCCTTGGAGAGTCATAAGTAAAGAAAGAGAGGGGTGTTACTTTACCATGAAAATAACAACAAATCGCTACTTGGGGATCCTGATTTTCAAAATTTTCCCGAAGGCGGCCCAATCCTCCGTCAGGAAGAAAATTCCCATGATTCATTTCCGCTTATTCCACACTGTATCTCCCCCTCCCACAAATTTCAGCCTATGAGTCGTCACTCCTTCCACGCTTCAAAAAGTCCCTCGCACATCTCCATCTGTTTTAAAGTTTGGCCTCTCCACTCCTCCAAACATAACTCTTCACTTCATCATACTTCAGTTCCACATCATAGACAAAATAATGTAGGGGTCAGGTTTAGCAGCAACTGTGGAAATCTTTTGGAGGCAAGAGTAAGTTTAAATGCTTATCAAAAAATGTGCCCTCTAGTTGGCCATAATGTTTCTTCCCTGAGGAAGGGAAAAATATTTGATACCAACTTACAGTCATGGGTGTTATCATCGTGGACCAGATGAAAATGGACATATTTTAAATTAACAGGACTAATTTTCTGGATTCTGGAGCTGTGCATTCTTGGAGAGTTAATAGGACTGAGTGATACAGAACAGTACACACTATATTCAGTGCCTGGATGGAGTTTGTAAAGGAGAAAATCCTCTGTAACTGGGACAGAAGCCAACCTATTATCGGCAATAATACTGAGGCAATGGGTCTGAAGAAGTTGCTAATAACATGGGGTTCACATAGTTAGAAAAGTGACTGCTCCAGCTGATTGAGCACTAATGTAGGAGCACCTCGGTGATAGAGGTATTGTAGATAAGCTGGTGAAACATGCAGTACAAAGAGTCATACCTCAAAGCAAATGAAATAGGTATGTAGTGTTAACACAAAATCTGAAGATGTAAATGTCACGGATGAAACTGTCACCATGTCACTTTCATAATATGTTCGCGGATCGATTCGGTTGAGTAGCTGAGCCTGGAACCACGGCACGGCTTCTAAGGAGGAATCGTGTAGCCAGGTGAGTACTTGCGTTTAACATCGGCGTTTTCAGTTCTGACAACTATCCAGTTGAAAGGACTATGAACATGTCGATAGGCGGGTGTAATGCCGCTACACATCGGTTGAAATTTGAAGAGGAAAAATATGGCAATTGATTGTAGGTGACTGTGACGGAGACTGATGACAACAAATGTCTTATCTTCTCTACACCGTAGTTACACGATCAATAAACTTGTCAATATCTGAAGGTCACGCGGCATTTCCGTCAATAGTCAACGACCCGCCGCTACGTTTCCGAGTTTAGCTCGGGGAAACATGTGGAATTCCGAACTACAATGTTGTCAACAGATTCGTACAGTTTGCAGATCCATGAAATCCACGGATGATATCCAAGACCAAACTTCCGTGCACTGTGGTTTTAGGTAGAGGACCTATATTGAGAGAGTATGGCCACTGCACTGGTGTTACCACCTCTGATTGGCTCAGCCATCTTAGGCTGAATGGAGCCCTTAGGACCGAGAGTATGGACAGATCGCTTCATGGAGGGCTTAGGGCCCAAAAGTGCAGCCACCCTTCTAACCAACTTCTAACGCACAAAATTTCACTGCCAGTCTGCAGATTCCAATTTTAACCATGATGGCATAGAATGTACAGAAATGAGCGTTCTTCCGCGAAATTGAGTAAATTTATGCAAAAACTGAGTCAAACACGTGCTTAATAAACGACGGTTCGGAACAATAGTATTAGTAAATCGTTCTGGATAATTGAAATTCATAGGTTGGCTGCATTTCTGGGCCCTAACTTTATTCGCAGAAGCACCGGTGAAGGCCTGATGGATTTTCGGAGTTTCACATCTGTCCATACTCTCGCTATACAGGTACTCTATTAGGACCCAAAAATGGCGGACGCTATAAATTAATGTAAAGCAAAATGACTCAAAATGTAGTTTCCTTTGCTTATCGTAACGAAAAATTTACTCAAATGCACTATTGCGACATCTTTACATATTTTTAAGGCTAATCGTGTGCAATTTTTGAAAAAAATTATCTTGGATTAGAGTCCCTTTATACCCAGAGTTACGACAACTCACTTTTGGTTGGGCCAGGATTGGGCTGAAAGTGGCCTAAAAAAAAATCCAATTCTGATTGGTTCTCGCTCATGGAGGCCGAAACTAGTGCACCAAGATGGCGGTACCTCGTATGTGAACAAGAATAATGAAAATATTACCTAATTGTGGTTTATCAAGAGTAAATTGTTA